TGTGGTCGCCAAGGAGGGCGGGGCCCCGCCGAGCCTTGTGACGTCACCGTGCCCGGCTGGACCCGCCGCTGTTTGTTGTCTCTCCTGGGATCAGCTGACCGGCGGAAGCGGGCGGGAGGATCCAGCCTGCAGCCGCGGAGGAGGAGGAGGAGGACGCGCCGGGCTTGGCTGGCTGGACCCGCTCCGAGGACCGTCGATTCCGCCGGGAAGGACGAGCGAGCCAGGAGAGCGCGCGTCAAAGCCTTGCCCTCGCCATGAAGTTCCAGTACAAGGAGGACCATCCTTTTGAGTACAGGAAAAAGGAAGGGGAGAAAATCCGAAAGAAATACCCGGATCGGGTGCCTGTGAGTAAAGCCGAGGAGCCTTTCGTGGCGCTGGGTATCCATCCGGTGCATCGATTGTTTTTTCCGAGAGCCGGGATTTGGTGGTGGAGGTGAAATTCCGTGCTTGCAGATTTGGGGGAGGCAAGCCAGACTTGCAGGGACGGCGGCCGCTCGAGATCCTGCCGCTGGGGATGATGATGATGGTGGGAAGGGGGCCCTATAGCGCCGTCGCTTGTGTCTGGGATGGAGCGAGGGAGGAGGGGGGACAACAACAACAACAACCACACCACTTGCGTCTTTGCTTTTTCGCTCATGGCCGGCATCCTGCCTGGCATCCTGCGGGAAGGGAGGGCATTCATCCCCGCCGAGCTCTCTCTCTCCCCCGCCGGCGGGCGGACGCAGGCTTTGCCGGTGCCCACGGCCTGAGCTTCATTCAGGGCGAGCGCCAGACGCCGCCTCCCCTTCCTCCATCCCGCATCAAGAGCCGAAGAGGAGGCCTTTGTTCTGGTTCCCGCTGATCCTGGCCGGCCGTGGGATTCTCGCGCCCTCCCCTCGGCCGCTTTCGCCAGAGTAAGCGCCCCCCCCCACGATCGCCACCTCGAATGCAGGGCACGGACCACAGGAAAGCCGAGTCATGCTCTTTCGCTGGCTTGACGTCTCTCTCTCTCTATCTCCTCCCCCCCTCCCACGGTGTTGGTCCTCCGTGGAGATTAACAAGGATTTCTCTTCTGGCTCCCAACCTTGATAGCCCGCTGCTTATCCTTGAGACTGTGCAGAACTGTTTCTTGCGCTCAGTTTAGAAACGCTGGCTTCTTAACAACAAACAATTGTATAGGTTGATCCCATAAATAAATCATCCTGTACATGATTCCGGCCATAGTCATAGGACAGTATGGGTATCTTTCCCCACATACTCTCATCCACTGAGTTTGAGTTTTGTACTTTTATTTTTAGCAGTATTACACTTATGTACTGTGTTATTAGAGACTTTGGATCAAACTGGCCAGCTCTTCCCTCCCTCTGCTGTTCCAGTCTTCACCTGTTCTCCTGCTAACCTCCTATTATTCTAGCCCACAGTTCCATATGCACAGCTATGCCAATGACTCAAACTGGCCTGCAACTAACCACTGTCTACACACAGTGCCAACATTCTTCATTCCGAAAATCTTTCTATGGAGCCTCCATTTTGAGACGGGGTGGAGGGTGTCTTCCAATCTATCCACCGTCTACACACAGGGTCAACATTCTTCATTCTAAAAATCTTTCTATGGAGCCTCCATTTTGAGTCTGATACATGTCAGGTAGCCCTTTCTTACTGACCACTATATTTTCCATCCCATTTGCTTCTGTGCTCCGTCTGTCCTAAACACTCCTCCCAAAAACCTAGCCTTAGTTACTATTTGCTGAGAGTGTCAGAAATTTGATGAACGTTCAATTTATTCTTGTGATTAAAACAAACCAATCAACACAGAGATAAATGTCTGAAAATCCTACATTAACCAGTGAACTTCAAAGCAGGCTGAGGACCTTCAGGAGATGTTCAAGTGTCATAAAAAATCCACCATTATAAATAAAGCATATTTACCATGCTTCTTCAGCTCGTAAAAATAAAGAACAGAGTTTATGACACCATGTTTCTGTCATTTCATGCTCGGTTCCTGAAATGAATTATTAATAAATAACACAGGGAGATCAAAATTTTCTGTAACAGATTGACAATAGGTATTTGCCTGAGCCTTCCGGGTACTGAAAAGAAATAACACAGGACATATCTGTTTTGTACAAACACTTCAGGAATGGTGTGAAACCATTATATCAGATGAACAAGAACAGCAAATAAAAAATTAAAAAGTTTGATTCAAAGTCTTTTAATACAGTGGTGCCTCGACTTACGATGTGAAACTATTATATCAGATGAACAAGAACAACAAATAAAAAAATTAAAAGTTTGATTCAAAGTCTCTTAATACAGTGGTGCCTCGACTTACGACCGCCTTGACATATGACCATTTTTAGTTGCAACCAGCTCCGGCTGCAAAATTTTGCTTCAACTTGCAGCTGGAGCTTCAAATTGTGATCAAAAGAGACAGGGGGGAAGGGCAGGGAATTCAAATTAGAGGGCTAACCGTTGGTCAAATTAGAGGGCTAATCATTTCACCCCAGCGATTGGAGTGTGTGCATCGGAGGAGGCTTCGAACTGCCTGGTGCTGCTTTCTGCTTCTGAGTGAGTGCATGCAGGGTTTTGCAGAGTGGGTTTGGGCTTGGGGGGTTATGTTTCTGTGCTGTGTGTGTGTGTTTGGTGTTTTGGTGTGCTTATTTTTTTCAGCCCCAAGGCCTTCTGATGGGGCTTGCTGTGTTGTTTATTTTTTATTTTTTGTTACTATTATTTTTTGGCCGGAATGGATTAATCGCGTTCCAGTGTATTCCAATGGGAAATGGTGCTTCGATTTATGACCATTTTGAGTTATGTCCATCTTCTGGGACGGATTATGATCGTAAGTCGAGGCATCACTGTACCATAAATAAGTGTAATGCTCCTAAAAATAAAGTACAAAACTCCATTCTTTCTTTTAAATGCCACACAATACTCCAATAAATGTGATTGAAAATGCTATGTCAAGAGACAGGTAATCCTTTGCTATATTTTCATTTCTTTATTTCAGAATTAGTGGGACAGGAAACAAAATGTTGCAATACACCGTGTTTCTTTTCATGATTCCAGCCTGTCTTTCAGGATACTTATTCCATTCTCTTTCCAGATTTTTGCCCCCTCTCCATAAATCTCTCAGTATTCTATGGTGTTGGATTGTAGCTCTCCCCAATGGTATTCTTATTCTTATTATTTAAATCTAAAAGCATTTTAGTTCTGTCATGATGCCCCACTGGATGCCTGCTGATACCTCCATCTTGTCGGATGCTCTCCTTTCGCCATTCCATATAAACCCATATTCAGAGCATTGACTTGATTGTTAAAATATATATTGTTAAGATATATGATATTTTTCTTTTATGCAGCATTTTAAAAAAAAAAAGAAAATCAAAACAAAACATCTTTGGACTTCAGTTTGGAGATAACAGAAGGCAGGGAGGATAGACGAGTAGCAGTAGAAATTTGAACAGAGTTGCACAGCCAAATAACTTCTGGTTAATATTTTCTGCTTTTAGCAGAGTGGAACACTGAAGCTAGAGCCAGAACATTTTATTATATTTTTAATTCCCTGTTTACCTTTAGGTCATACTCTGTTAACCCCCTCTCCCTTCCCCCCCCCACATCAGATAGTTCTATTGGTGGCTCCAGAATCTTGTAGGGTCTTAAGATAAGGCCTACTCCTCCATAGGTCCTTTAACGTCACAGGATATGAGGCATTCAAATGGAAAATTCTCTCATTTTCCCTCTGGCCTTCCTTGGCACTGAGTACTGTGCAAAGAAAGAAGAGGAACTGGAAAATTTCTCGGAGGTCCAGTCCAGGTAACTGTCAGGCCATGCCTGCTATTGAATCATTCATTTTTCTCTCTCTTCCTTACCTCTGCCAATTTTAGACCCTTTCTCTCCAACAACCTTTGCAGCCTATCCCTCAGGACCCCATCCTTGTTTTCTGTTTTTCCGAACCGCGTTGCATCACCAGCTTTCCGCTAGCCCTTTTCTTTCTCCTGCCTGTTTTCTGTTTGCATTGTCTTAGAGGTTCATGCCCGTGAAGGTATCTGGAGCTGGATTATTTAGTCTGGAGAGCACTGCTTCTACCACTCAAATGTGCACCTCTGAGTCGAGGGTTGAGGGGTGTGAATGCCGCCGTTTAGGAAATCTTCCTCCCCAGTTTTCACTGGCTGGAGTGCATTTTTTATTTTTCCAGAGAGACTAAAGGTGCAAACAGTTGGAGACTATAAATGGGTGGGCGAGCCAAGGATTGCAGGTTTCTTGCAGGTTTCACGTTGTGTAGGTAAACTGTAGATAATGGAGCTTTGTTTCACAATCTGCAGAAGGGTCAATATTGGTAATGTCTTATCTTGAAGAACTGGTGCTAGTTAACTAAATAGACTTTTTTTCCCACTGTCCACATGGATATAAGGACACAATGTGTAGTTTACAGTCTTGACAATGATTATCTGTATTTATTATCTTCTTTTTCAACATATGGAATTATATCCTCATTAAAAGATCCCTGCGGGGTCAAGCTAAAAGCCTACCTAGTCCAGTTTCTGTTTTCACAGTAGCCAACCAAATGACCCCGGGAAATCCACAAGCAGGAGAGAAGCCCTCTTCCTTGGCTGTTCTCCACCAAGTAGGACTTAGATACCGTCTGGCTTTGTGTCGGTTATGCTCCTTTTCTTGAAGCCCATCCCACTGGTGGCCATCACCTCATCTTGTGGGAGTGAATTGCATTGCCTAAACAGACTCCTATGTAGTCTAGGAAGGCTATGGTGAGTGATTAAAAGGCTGCAGTCAAGAACAGTTAGGAAAAAGCTTATCTTGTGGTTATTCTGTTATGTAACTTTCTGTGCCTATTCCAGAGAGCAGATGGAGGCAAGTGGGGCAGAGGAGGGAGAATGGAATGAAGTGTTTTGAAACTGAGCGTCCTTTATGTGGGCAATGCTTCTGAAAATCCAGATCAGAGGAGACCTACTCTTTGGAAATACTCTCCCCCCCCCACACACTTTGTTTAGAGGTGTGAAGGCCTGGGAGAAAAAAAGAGCACATGGAAGGATAACTGCTACATGTGCAGAAGAAACAGATAATGATATTGAGCATTAATAATAATCATATTTTAAAATGTTACTAAGGTAATGGAGGATGCCAGTATGCTTTTCTCCTCATAAATTTGTGCCATGGATTTGCTGGGGAGTTATGGAGAGCAAGGCTTCTCTTCAAGGGATGTTTATCCTATTTTCCCCTTTTCCCTTTTTTATCCAGGTGATTGTAGAGAAAGCACCGAAAGCCAGAGTACCTGATCTGGACAAACGGAAGTACCTTGTCCCATCCGATCTGACAGGTAAATGCGCTCGGATCCACAGTCTCTGTTTTCTGTTCAAGGAGCATTTATGGCCAGCTTAGACACAGGAGACTTCTTTTCTGCCTTTTTTTTTTGGGAAGGAATTGATGCTGCTTCATATTTACAGTACAGAATGAAGGCCATTTAATGCACTGAGTGAATGGGTGAAGGTCAGTCTGCTCACTTTTTGCTTGAAAAGTGCCTTAGCCGTTGTTGCCAATTTGGCTCCCTAAACCGCAGATGTTCCAGCATAGGGGCCACTCAGTGAAGCCGTTCATCTACCCGTGGATGCTCAAAAGAGCAAAGGCAAAAAGCTGTGGTGATGTCAGTTACTTCTTAGGCAAGGAATTATATTGCCAGCTTTTATTTCTCTATAGTTTTAAAAGCAACTAATGTTGATCAGCAGGAAACTTCAGTTTTGGATTTGAATTCTGCTTAGGATGGTATTGATAACTCTGTCTGTCATCTTTTAAAAAACCAGGCAGGCATGGCATTGGGTTTGATAGGTGACATCGATGAGAGGTGTGCTAGTCAACACACTTGCTCTTCACTCTTGCAGTTTGTACGCCACATCATGGCACAATTGAACAGGATTAAATGGACGTCTTGGCAGCTCTGTGGTTGAGGTGGCCGGGGGAGCAGAAAGTCACTGACCTGGCCCCTGCCTCTGGAGGCCTCCACATCATTGCAGTTGCTTTTGGGAATTCATTGGGATGCTCATGGCTGGGAAGTGTTTCTGGTGGGTAAGGGTGTAGGCTGTTGCATGTGCGTAGTAGCAGAAGGTTGGGAAAAAGGCTGCTGGTAATGACAGGGCACTGTTCACGCTGACAGTAAATTAGCGTACATTTGATTGAACTGTGGTTTCGCCAGCAATCAAGTGTGTTGTTGGGGGAGGATCTTTGTTGGGAAGGATTGCTAAACAGTCTGAGTGTTGCGAGCTGTCAGTCCAAGGAAACCTGCAGGCCCTTAGCGTACATTTGATTGAACTGTGGTTTTGCCAGCAACCAAGTGTGTTGTTGGGAGAGATCTTTGTTGGGAAAGATTGCTAAACAGTCTGAGTGCTGAGAGCTGTCAGTCCAAGGAAACCTGCAGGCCTGGATAGAGGGATGTCGAGGCTACAGGATCAAAAGCATAGGGATTAACTGGGTGATAGATTAGTGTGTCCTGCCTTGGCTATTTATGTGTTTTTGGTAATTTTTGTGCTACTTTCAGAAACATTCCCAGACCAGCGGGCATATTAGCACCATTGGAAAAAGTCTCTAGTAATGTGAATATAATGGTGTAGCCATTAGACGGAAGAATAGAGAGAGAAATCAGACGGAAGAATAGAGAGAGAAATTAAAAATTATGTTGCATAATACCCATTGTTGTGTAGGACTCTGAAGGCTGAAGTATTAACATTTGGGTTTTTTTCCTTTCTGTTTCTGCCCATTAATTCTAGTTGGCCAATTCTACTTCTTGATCCGAAAGCGAATCCACTTGAGGCCAGAGGACGCCCTGTTCTTCTTTGTCAATAACACGATTCCTCCCACCAGTGCTACTATGGGCCAACTGTATGAGGTAAATATGTCCACAAGAAACTTCTGGCACCTTAAAGATGGACCAGTTTTATTTGTCATATGTTTCCATGGATTTTTCATTTGTCAGATCAGTTAAGCTGATTCCTGAACCCTCCCTAAGAGTCCTACAAAACTTTATAGACCTTCAGGGAAGAAACCAGAAGTCTATGTTTGTCACAGCTAGTATTATTTTTTAAAAAACCCCACAAAAAACAAAAAAAGGGTTAACTCTAGAATGAAATCAAACAATCATTGGCAATCATATCAAAATTCATTTGAGTATCAAAGTATAAGTCTTTTCACTCTTGCAATAATCCCAGGCAACATCAGCTTCTCTTATTCTACCAGGTTTATTTATTTATATTGCTTCCATGTCTCATACTTACAAAATATTTCAGAGTTGTAAAATTACAAAAGTCTTAGAGGTAAGAAAAAACTAAGTACAAATATTTGAAAATATACGGAAATTAAACTTTAGTGGTCGACAAATATTTGTCAAACTTCAATCCAAAATAAAGGAGCAAAAATACAATAAAATATCAAAAATAATATTTTAGTTGTACTCAAACAATGTAGGAGCTTATATCATGTTTTCTTGAAAATAAGCCCTAGTAGGATTTTTCAGGATGCTCGTAATATAAGCCCTACCCCCAAAATAAGCCCTAGTTAAGTGAAACCCTGCCCTCCACCATGCGGCAGCAGCCAGAAGAAGATGACATGACTGTATTTGAATGAATGTAGATCACTGTACATGAAAAAAAATAAAAGGTTCCCTGAAGATAATCCCTAATGCGTTTTTTGGAGCAAAAATTAATATAAAAGCCTGTCTAACAAGGCATATCTGAAAACAAAAGACAGAGAATAGAGTCTTAAAACATTCGTAGTCTAACAAGGCATATCTGAAAATAAAAGACAGAGAATAGAGTCTTAAAACATTAAAGATCTTAAAAGTAAAAATATATAAAAAGAAAATAAATTTCTTAGCCTCTAGGTATATTAAGAACAAACGCAAAATTACTCTAAATTATTGGTGTGGCAGTGAAGTCAAAAAATATAGGTGCCTCAATAAAAATCTATAACTTTGAAACTGAATATCAGATCATCACCAAATTTGGCATGGAACTAGCAGAGAGCCTTCTCTTGCACTGTGCCAAATTTGGGGATGTTTACACAAACAGTTTTTCAAGTTAGAATGTTTAAAATAAAGCTGTTTTACCCACACCCACACCCACATATGGTACAAATGTCAGTGACCATGTTTTGGCAGATTTGAAACAGATCAATTACACTGAAAAGACCAAACTTGTTTACCTTGAAAGAGAGTGGTTAGTATATTCCCGAAAAACCTACAACAAGCATCAGAGTGGTTAGTCCTAGCCCCCCCCCTTTTTTTAAAAATCTGGAACAAATCCAGGCTTTTGAATTTTTAAAGTCATTTGAATGGGGGGAACAGCCTGAATTTCTGGCATTCCTATGCAAACAAATATTCTAATGCTCTTAAGCTTGATATTCACACTTGTTGAAAAACAGCCCTGACAATTCCTTTGAGTTTGGGTGATAAGTGGTTAACTGATTAAAAAATGAGTCAGCTTCTGAGATTTTCTCCTGCCTGGCATCAACTTTTTGAATGGTAGTGAGCAGAAGAGGGTATCCTATAGACCATTTTGACTCCTGCCATTGGTGTTGTCAACATTCAGGCTACCTTTTGCTATGTAAAGCTTGGCATCTTTTTTCATGCTGGCAATGTGGGCACAATATTGTACAACAGTATCCTGGATTTTTGAATTGTGGGTACAGAGGCACAATATCCCACATTCATAAACTGGAGGGTTGTTTTTTTTTTTGTTTTTTTGTTTTTTTGAGAATTGAATAATGTTCTCGCCCAGCCTTGTGCCAGATTGCATCTATGGTGGAAAATCCATGATGACTGTTGTTCTTCGATGTCTGGTGCCAAAAGCAGCATGGTGTTGCAATGATGCAATGAATCTTTTTCTCTGTGAGTTTTATCTCCATATATTTATATTTCATCCAGCAGTCTGTAACTCCCCCTATTTTATAAACAGCTGCTTTCTCCAGGTGCCTGGAGATCCAAAGGTCTTCAGCTTCCAATGGGAAATGGCATAGTTCCTGCAGTCTTTGTAACTCCAGCTATCTATAACTGGAAATCTGGCAGACTGCCACTATGCTGATAAAATTATTGTTTTGACCACCATTCTACAACATCTGGACCACTAATGCTCTGTAGCTACAAACCTTTGTAACACCAGGACCTTATAATACTTAGATTCTAGATTGCCATAATATTGTCATTCTAAAATCCTGAAATGTTTGACCGTTGTGAACTTAAAAATGTATAATCATCAAAAGAGTGCACTATAAGACTTACAAATTCTGCTTCATGTTTACATATTGGAACATAAACAATTCGATTATAGCATAAATGAGTTCCTTCTAACATAACCATGCTCATTATAAACAGCTGCAAGGAATTGTTATTGTTCAATAACCTTGCTTGGCTGTTTTGAAATTATTGTTTTAAATTATTATTCCAGCCCCAATTTTTAGAAGCACTTTCATTTTCCAGGCTTATCCTTACTCCCCTTAATTATTTTAATACTCTATAAGCACCAATTTTACACCTTGACACATTAGCCCTATGCTGCTGTACAAAGGCAGCTTCCTGTGGTATAGTTTAGCCCATGCAAAACAAGTTCATGTAGCACTCAGTGAAAGCTGTAGAATCATTACTAGATGCCTGAAGCCAGCCTTTATGGATTAGATCAATAATGTAGCAGGCATAGAGCCCAGTGATGTATGGAATGATATAGCAGCTAAAAAGGAAAGACTCAAAGCATTTGCCTCAGATCCACATCTATTGTTTGGTTCCCATCCCTCTCAGATTAAAATAAAGGAAAAATGTTTAAGAATGTCTGTGAATCTTGAGGGAACTGCAGAGAATGTTATTATAATGTGAAAAGAAATTTAATTATTTAATTCATATCCCACCCATTTAGACCGAAATCTACTCTGGGCGGCTAACAACAACATTAAAACAAAACAAAACAGCAATATTAAGACACTAGAGGATGGCGAAATAAGTTAGGTAAGCGGCTAACAACAACATTAAAATAAAACAAAACAACAATATTAAGGCACTAGAGGATGGCGAAATAAGTTAGGCATCAACAGGAGGGAAGGTCTGCCTGAAGAGCCAGGTCTTAAGTTGGCTCTTAAAAACGCCCAGTGAGGGAGCTAGACAAATTTCTTGGGGGGGGGATTATTCCAGAGCCAAGGGGCCACTGCCGAGAAGGCCCGCTTTCTTGTTCTTTCTGTTCAGGCCTCCCTCGGTGTTAGGCCTCTAACAGCTGCCCCTCCTGGCTGAGCGAGTGATATGGGTAGATCTACGTGGGAGAAGGCGTTCTGCCAGATATTGAGCATCTGTCCCTCCTGGCTAGAGTGAATGATATGGGTAGATCTAGGTTTGGAGAAGGCGTTCTGCCAGATATTGAGGTCCTAAACTGTTTAGGGCTTTATATGTCATCATTAATACTTTGAAATCAATGTGGAAATGAACAGGTAGCCAATGTAAGTCCACCAGAGTGGGGGAGATATGTTGATGTTTTCTCACCCTAGTAAGAAGTCTGGCTGCCGCATTCTGCACCATTTGAAGCTTCCACATCAATCTGAAAGGTAGCCCCACATAGAGCACATTACAGCAGTCTAATCTCGAGACCATGGACCAGAGTGGTGAGGGCCCCGACATCAAGATAGGGATGCAGCTGGGCGATCCGCCAAAGATGGAAGTAGGCAGTGCGAACCTCAGTCTTTGTGGTGAGAATCACCCCCCCCCAAAAAAGTGAGGGAGTTTCCAAAATCACCAATGTCTAGGCCACCCACCCTCAGGACCTCCATCTTGTCTGGGTTCAGCCTCAGACCATTCACCTGCATCCATCCCAGTACGGCATCCAGACAGCACTGAAGGGATGGAACGGCAGCCACTGTTTTTGGAGAAAAGGAAATGTAGAGCTGGGAGTCATCAGCATACTGATGACACGAAGCCACACACCCCCGATAACCTGACCCAGCAGCCTCATGTAGATATTAAACAGCATTGGGGAGAAAATCGAGCCCTGTGGAAACACGAAGCCACACACCCCTGATGACCTGACCCAGCAGCCTCATGTAGATATTAAACAGCATTGGGGAGAAAATCGAGCCCTGTGGAATCCCACAATTGAGATTCCATGGAGCCAATACACTATCCCCATGCTGTACTTTCTGGGGACAGTCATCCAAGAAGAATCAGAGCCAGGCTAGCGCCAGACCACCAATTCCCAGCTCGGAGAGCCTCCCCAGGAGGATACTGTGGTCAACGGTATCAAAGATGGCTGAGATATCAAGAAGGACCAACAGAGACATTTTGCCCCTTTCGGACTCCCTCAGGAGGTCATCAAATAGGGCGACCAATGCTGTTTCGGTACTGTGGCATGGCCTGAAGCCAGACTGAAATGCATCCAGGGCATTGGTTTCATCCAGAAGGGCCTGAAGCTGGTCAGTCACCACCCTGCCTACCACTTTACTAAGGAAAGAAACATTGGCGGGCCTATAATTGCCAATATCATCTGCTGCCAAATTTGGTTTCTTCCTAATGGGCCTGATGAGTGTCTCCTTGAGGAGAGACCCATTAATTATTGCAGTGGCCCATTCGGTTGTTATAGGCCTGGCTGCTTTGATTAGCCAGGCCGGGCAAGGGTCAAGGGAGGAGGTGGTGGCATGACAGTGGTCAAGTGCTTTGTCCACCATATCCGGCATCATAGGCTGAAAGAGATGGAGTCTCATCGGGCAAGGCGGAGCGCTGGACGTCTCTGCTCAATCTACTGTGTTCAAAAAAGGAGAGAGCTCCCGGCGGATGGCCTCCACTTTAGATTTTAAAAATGCTGCAAATTGGTCAGGTGAGACACTAGTAGGAGGCCTATCACTTAGACCAATACCAGATAGGTCATGGACTATACGGAAAAGTTCCGCCTGCTGATTTGAAGCTTCGACAGCAAAGTGAGCTCAACTAGCAGCCCTCACCTTAGTAAGGTGAATGTCAGAACTGTTTATCTCTTTAAATGGATGGAACTCCAGGGAAGTGTCCTGGTCACATGGAAAACTGAGGTTTTGGAAGTCACCTAATAGACTACAGACTAGTATTGGCAGAACCAAAGTGAATTTTTTTTAAATGATCTTTTTGGGCAGACCCAGTATATTCTGAGTGCAGAGAAGAATGGACAGCTTCATACCTGAATGTCAGAACTGTTTATCTCTTTAAATGGATGGAACTCCAGGGAAGTGTCCTGGTCACATGGAAAACTGAGGTTTTGGAAGTCACCTAATAGACTACAGACTAGTATTGGCAGAACCAAAGTGAATTTTTTTTAAATGATCTTTTTGGGCAGACCCAGTATATTCTGAGTGCAGAGAAGAATGGACAGCTTCATACCTATGTCAGTGTACTTTATGTACCTCAACATGTACTATGGAATACTTGATGTCTCAGATGCTGTTGATGTTGCCCATTATTGAACAAAACCTGTATGATATATGAATTATCCTATGTTGCTTCTGAGATGAACAAAGAAAAGAGGATGGAATACAGACTGCTTCCTCAGGTGCACAGATGTAGGCTGCCTTTCCTTTCTAAGTCATGGAATTGCTGAGCAAAGTAGATGTGGTCTGCCACAACATTTGGTGATCTGCCACTCTTGTGGCCCTGCTGAACAGTGCTCTCCTGTCCATATGTTCTCTCACTTTACAATGGGTGCTGGCATGCTCCAACTGTATGTGGAAAACGAATGGCATCTTTGCCATCCAGCATGACAACAGACCCATGCAGTCATGACTTCGGCAGATCTGAATCAATATAAACTTAAGTCCAACTGTTCTGTGATTGATTGATTGATTTGCTCCCTTTAACTTCAAAATGTGCTTTTTAATCTGTTTTGAATTCCTCTGAACAGTTCTGGTGGTTTATGATTTTCTGATGTCAAAAATACAGGTTAGAAGTCAGGTTTCTAGACTTCTGCAGTAAGGCTTTTGGGCAGCTGGGATACCAAGTTCTCCAAAGTAACAAATTCATTGATGTTCAATCAAAGAAATAATAACAGGGATATCAACGATATCCATTTATTCACGTTGAAAACTGAACTTCATTTTGCCCAGTAGATGATACGATCTGAGACCATGTTCTGGCAAGCTACTGTTTTGTTCCATGGGTGGCAAATGATAGGAAAGAGAAACTGTGAAATTTCATCAGTGTTATACCTTGATCTTACTCATCATAGTATTAGAATGCAGGGTCTCCCAATGAGACTGATTAACAGGAAGATGAGAAAGGCAACCGCCATTTTTTTTACTTTGTATAACTTTCTTACAGGATTCTCTACCATGAGATGTAGCGATGCCTACTAGTGAAGGAAGCTCTAAAAAAGAGCTCAGTTAGGTTAGAGAGGTTGCGTCTATGAAGGTAACTAGTCACATTGGATGAATTACTATCCTGCCGCCATAGCTCAGAATATGAGGTGCTGGGGCAAACCGTAGAAGGCATTTCCCCTTCAAGAGCTTTCTGCTGAAATTCCATATACATGTGATTGGCCTTAGCTGATGGAGAGTACCTGGTCTGATCCAGCAAGGCTTCCCTTATACAGTGGTGCCTCGCTTAACGATTATCTAGTTAAACAACAAATCCGCTTTACGATGAAGTTTCTGCGATCGCTATTGCAATCACAAAATGATGAATTTCTGTGATCGCTATTGCGATCACAAAATGATGTTCCTATGGGGAAAATGCGCTTGATGATGAGCTGTTAGTTCCCTGCTTCGGGAACCGATTTTTCACTTAACGATGATCAGAAAACAGCTGATTGTCGGGTTTCAAAATGGCTCCCCGCAGTGTTAAGGATGGATTCCTCACATTACAGGCACCAAAAAATGGCTGCCCTATGGAGGATCTTTGCTGCACGATGAGGTATTTCACCCTTTGGAATGCATTGAATGGTTTTCAATGCATTTCAATGCTTTTTTAAAATTTCACTTGACGACAATTTCGCTTAACAGCGATTTGAACAGAATGGATTATCGTCATCAAGCGAGGCACCACTGTACTGTGTTCCATAGCCTGGGCCAGTTGGAGAGAAAAAAACATACGGGAAAGTAGAAAGTGACTCTTAAAAATGGAAAGGAACAGCAGACCCTGATTCAGATGCTGTCTGTTTTATTGTTATTTTTACTGTTAAGTGGGTTTGGGGGTGGAGTTTAAAAAACAAGATCACGTTTCTTTTTCATTTCTTTCGAACATACAGATCTTTCACACTTTCAGATTTTCGTCATCAAATAGTAAAAGAGGCCAGAATGTTTAGCTTCGTTTAGTATCTGGAACACATCAGAAGTGGCTAAGTCTGCTTACTGCATTTGTGGCTAAGGAAAGATTCAGCTTGGGGGTTTCTGGCTTACTGCTGAATCGTCTGAGACACTGGCCAAAATCATGTTGCTTAGCATAGTAAAATGCACTAGTGTTCGCTCGTTGAATCAACTGAGATTTAATGAGTCAGCTCCTTTGTAAGTTCCTGTAATTCAAAAAGACCTACTCTTAACTCCAATGTACTGTGCTAAAGGAAATTGTATCGTGCAGCAGAGCAAAATAAACATTATATGAGGCAATTCTAAAAATGGGGTACCTCAAACAAAAAAAAATTCTAACTTTGAAATTGAGCTTCAGAGCTTCTGTGCCAAATTTGGCACAGATGTAGCAGACACGAGGCAATTATAAAAATGGGGTACCTCAAACAAAAAATTCTAACTTTGAAATTGAGCTTCGGAGCTTCTGTGCCAAGTCTGTACCAAATTTGGCACAGATGTAGCAGTCTACTGTTCTGTGCCTTCCATTCAGAAATAAGTGACATAGTGTGACTTAATATGCTAAGCAAACAGATTTCAGCCAGTGTGTGATCCAAAAGATTTACATTCAAAATCCTCAAATGCTGAAATCAAACTATCAATGTATTTCTGGGGAGGGTGTGTGGCCTATATGCACGGGGGGGGGGGAACAGACACCTGTTAGCTCATATAAGGACAGTGACTCTGCCGACTCATATTAGTAAAGAGATAATGCAGCAAATCCTTTGTTCATTTATGAGAAATTATATTCCCAGTGTGATTACATAAAGTCTGAAGACGTGCAATCTAGGAAACCTAGTTACTAATTATCCTTTTCTCCAAAAGAAGGACATTTTCTATTATTAACAAAACAAGGAGGTGTCATCTTGCAGGACAGCATATTAAGGTCACTCCCTGGAGATGATTAGAATAAATTTCTGAATTAAGTCCTCAGGTTGTTAGTAGACCTGTGCAGTTAATAGCTTGTCTTACTTAAAGCCTCAAAGCCTGATAATGTTCGTGCTGTAGAGCAGCCATTCTCAACGGGGTGTGTGTGTGTGGGGGCATATGGCACATTGAAAGGGGGCCATAGACTGGAAATAGTTCTTCACACACCCTCTTATAAGGTTTGTTATGCAATTTGTACAATCCTGATTTAGCCTCTACTTCTTTCATATTGCATTTATGTTATTGTTATGTACTGTTAAGATGGAGCCAAATTGCAGTGATCGTAACAGGGCTTTCAAGGAAAGTGACATATTTAAGGAGTGGTTTAATTAGTTCCACTTCTCTAGTGAGTTTCCATGGCTGAACAGGGATTCGAACTCAAGCCTCCCGAGTAGTGGATAAAGTCTTTCACTTTATCCACTACACCGCACTGGGTATCTTTGGCGGTGGCCGAAAAGAATGGTTGAGAATGGGTGCTGTGGAGCGATATCAACCTTCTCCAAAAGTCATATCAGTGGATTCCAATGAAAACCACAAAATCTAGAAGAGGACCAATTTAGTCAGGACCAGATAATTTTGTCTAATGTAGTAACGGTGGGTCCCAGATTGAACGTGTTTCAAGATAAGGGGGTACTGGAGCCTTTTGGTTCCAGCCTAATAGAAGTCCTGCGAGACTGAAGTATTTTGAAAAGTTGATCACATTTACAAACTATGGAGGAGCCATTTTCTATAACAAGGGGGTGGGGCACAACTCATATGTTGCTACACACTGCTGCACTAAGACAGTAAGCCAGAGAGTGAATCCTAACTGGTATATGTTGATTAAATAAAACAAGTAATTAAGTAATTTGTTCACCTCCCAAGCTACGTTGTTGGCATTGGCTTTTGATGTTTCTCCTATTTTATCTTCCCCATACGTAAAAAGGAAATAATGTAAACTACAGCATAGTAGAGCTGTGGCAGATGACAACTGCTATCTCTGATTTTCTCCTCATAGTTTTAATATCGTCTACCTCCCCACTTCTCTTCCAGGACAATCATGAGGAAGATTATTTTCTCTATGTGGCTTACAGTGATGAAAGCGTATATGGCAAGTGACGCCATGATCTGCCAGCCTCAGAGATGCAATGAACTGAAAGGACTATTGCGAGAGGGATTTTGTGTCAGATGGAACGAGGAAGAAGAGGAAGAAAGAACTGGACAAAACCCACCAGATATTTCATGTCATCATGATTTCATGCCATCATTATTAATTGATTAGGGTTAATAATTATTACTGTTATTTAATTTAATCTTTGGGGAGAAAGTGAGGTTTCTCGGAGCTACCTGTCTAATGTTTTTTTCAGATCGAGATTCTTTGGCCAAGTTCCCTGACCTTCCATTCTGTCAACTGGCATTTTCAGGAGGAGGAAGAGAAAATGAGAGCGAGCAAAAGGCAACCTTAGTCCCATTACATATGCTTTCCCCTGTCAAGTCAGCCAAAGGGAGTTAATAGCAAGACATGTAGGCCCGACGGGCATCCCCTACATTTCCCTTGCTTTCTCTTTATGTCTTCACTATTCTAAATCACAGAGTTGTGGTGAAACTGTAAGACAGTAGCCTCCTCTCTGGGCATGATGAACACATTATCCGCATTCCTCTATTTTTTTTTTCTGAAGCCATTTCTGCCGTTCTCCTCCTGGCCTGGGTCTCCTTGACAGGTGTACCACACCTGTCCTTCTTCCTCCAGCTGTAGCGTTTTTGATCCCGTTCATATTACAGCAGTAATGAACGATTACAGATGCCACTCAGTATCGGTGAAGTTGTTTAAAATCTCTTCCCGGTTGGACCAGTCGCCTTCAAGAAACAGCATGGCCCCATTTTCACTGATTGCATGAGCATTTTGTGCCGTTACGTGTCCTTGCCTATAAGTAAAAGGCTAATCACTTTTGGGTCACCATCATTTTACCTTGAAACCTCTGCTGCTCCCTTTGTTTTTCTCAATGTATCCAAGGTGAGGGGGACTTGGGGGGTATCTTTTGCATAGAATCTTAGAACTGCCGAGCTGGAAGGGACTTTATGGATCATTGAGCCCCTGTCAAGGAGGCACCAGGGGTGGGGTGGGGATCAAAATCCCAACCCTAAACCACTGAGCTATTGAGCAGTAAGCATCTACTGTATCCTATTAGAAAAAAAATATTCCTCTTACTGGGAGTTGCGCCCCCCCCAATACACTCTTTTATCCCTGCTTCTTGACATACCCTTTCCAGCAAAAAATCTGAAGACGTCTGGGTGCATGTTTTTTTTCACCACATTGCAATGGCAATGGACGTCCTTTGAAATGTGATGGATGCTGGGATTTCCCTTTTTCTCCCTTTATGCTTCATTATTCTAAATCAGGGGGGTCATGAAATTTAGAGCTGCTCATTTTAAGGCTTACATTGACACAATTACAGTAACTGATTTCCTTGTCCTGTGGCAGCTTTGAGGGTATTTAGAAGAAAGGTGAAGACTAAGAAGGATTGGAAGTGTATAATATGAGCAAAATGGAAAAAGATCTGTGGCTGGAGGTCAAATGTTTGCCTCAGGAAGCCTGAACTCTTGCATGACAGTGAATCTTTCAAAGGATCTGTGGAGTTACAGGAATTAGCCACAACTCAGCCTCTTCTCTGAATTCTCTTGTTCGTCGGTTTGGAAGTGTCATCTCTTTACTAAACCTGTGAGATGGCAAGGAACAGGCCTTCATCAGGTGATATCTGAAGAACTCAAATGTAACAGAATATTGAGTAAATTACATTGAGGGGCTTTTGTAGAGCTGAAAAAATCTTGGATGAGAATTGTGGAATATACACTGGTAACGAGTACATGTTACAATGGTAACAGGCAATAAGGCCCTCACACTTTCCCAACATCAGGGTCTTTTCCAGGGAAATAAGGAAGGCTAGTATGTTTAATTTTGTTAATTATTTTGATGCCTAAGCCCCTTTTTGGCAACGGATTCTACCTGGGTCCTTTTAAGGAGAAAGGCAGGGTAAAAATATATTTTAAATGCATAAATAAAATTCTGTTGGCCCATTTCCCCCATTTTAAAGCTGTCTTAAGAAACATACTCCAGAGTCAGAGCCGTCCATGCGAGTCAAAGCATGTGGAGAGCTCTAGGGTGCATGATTGCTCACTTGCATATTCTCCTAGAGATGCAGTAGATTCTGAAGGAGACCTTGAGTTACCCTAACCCCTCTCACTGTTGACCTTTAAGCAATGCCATGTTTAAAAGTTTTATTTATAATGGAATTAAGACATTTATTTTACATTTCACTCAACTGCAACTCGTAAAAGGTAGTGCTAGTTATTCTTTCTGTGTCATTAATTCTAGCGAGCTTCAGGTTCCTACAAAAATTCATGTTACATTGGCTCAGTTAATAAACACTTGAAAATCCAGGACACAGAGTGAAATTGTATTTTATAACCTTGTTGGCTCGGGCTCATCATTTAAATAATCACGTCGCCAAAGGACTTTCAACACTTCTACTTGAGTTCACTTCAGATCTGTAGAATATTGAGAGACATTCTTCCTGTACTGTATTAATTTCTGTGTTTGTGCCATAACATTTTAGTGGCGAAATTTGATAAGGAGGCTAGCAGCATGGCAATCCTCCCTATCCATGAATAAACAGATGTGGATAGTGAGGGAGCTGCTGCAGTGACTTGCAGGGATAACCTGCAGACTCTTCGCCATTTCTTACAGAAACCTACCTCCCCAATGAGTGCAGGACAGCTGCTTTTTTCAAAAGGAAGTTAATGCTCAAGCCTTTTCAAGCCTTAACCCACCAAGGAATAGCAAGTCTTTCTGGAGAGAGAGCGGAGCTGGCTCTTCTTGAAGAGCAACAGAGGAGCAATGCTTCTAGGTAGGGAAGAACACCAAGTGCAGGAGGCAAGCTCCCAGCGGAAAAGAGACAAGTATATTGAAAAGGAACAATTGGTTGTGCACACTATGTTACTGGGAAAGGTTTGGCTTTTTTTTTATGATCTGTGTTTCCATGAAGATGACCTCTTGGCAAGAAATAGATTGCATCTTGCAGGGGATGGGAAAGAATGTTTTGTCCTAGGGAGTTTGTAAACTTCATCAAGAGGGCTTTCCACTGAATCATACTGAGAAAAGAGATGGCATTCCAGAGGAGAGAGAACATCAAATAGAAGAGTTTCAGTGGTGCTCAGGAGATTGGGAGAAGGAACTATGGCATAATTTGTTGCTTCCAAGCTACTATTTATACTGGCCACCCAACCTTGGGTTCCCAACCTTGGGTAATCCAAGTGTTCTTGGACTTCCAACTCCCAGAAACCCCGGCCAGCACATCTTGTGGTGAAGGCTTCTGGGAACTGCAGTCCAAAAGCACACTTGGGTTACCCAAGGTTGGGAACCATGTTCTAGTGAATGCCGGATATCAGAGATCTGGAAGAGAGTTTGAACAGGACGACCGTTTCAGCCTCAGCTCTGTGTAAGCTGGTCTTTCCTCCGTAGTTTGCAGAGTGTAGTCTGAAGATTGATTTTTGAAATGGAGGGTGCTTTGCTGCTGCTTCTCAAACTACTGTACTTCCTTCTCCTGGATTTAAACCCAACAAGATACCAAGAAAAGCCACTAGAGCAGTTCAGGAAACAAACAAACAAAAAACAGCTGCTTTGAAGCATGTTCTGTCACCTAAATCTGAAAAGTGAGTCTTGCATCCTCTCAGAAAGGAAGATCGATCATAATTGCCTGGAAACAGTAGATTTTTAACCTTGATCTGTATATTCTCTCAGCCTTAGTTACCCTGGTAACCACGCAGCAACCACACTGTATTTTTCCTCAGGCAAGATGCAGACATTTCAGTCCAATAGGAAGGTGGGAGATCGGACTTGAGAGGATTGGACGGGATATTCTTGTTAAAGCTTATTTTAGGTTTGAATAGCCTTGTTCTTTCCCCTTCAGGTTTGATAGAAGCAGGAAAGACTAGGAAGTAAACTGGTTAAGCCAAGAAATTCTAGCTAGACACAGTCATTATCTACTCAGTCATTATCTAAATCAGTAGTGTCCAACCTTGGGCCCCCAGATGTTCTTGGACTTCAACTCCCAGTAATCCAGGCCAGCAGAGGTGGTGAAGGCTTCTGGGAACTGTAGTCCAAGAACATCTGGAGGGCCAAGGTTGGACAAGCCTGATCTAAATGTATGATGTTATCTCAAATGCCACAAACACATTTGTATGGGATGCTAAGAAAGTAGTGCAAGGACACTTAACTACATTTGTTAGAAGGGACAAACATTGAGATACAAAGGAGAAAAAAGAACAGTGTTTATCGAGAAGATGAAGACCCCCAACAGTAGAGTGTCAACAAAAAGGAAGTTATAAATCAGAACCAAAATTGGCTAGGAAAAAAACCAAACTAAACATCTTAGATATACCCAAAATGCAAACCTCAACATTTCTTCCAAATAGAAAATATTATGAATAGAGATAGGTATGAACCCAAAAACGAACCAGGAAGTTCGTCAAAAATCACTGGTTTGTTGGTTTGGGTCCATACGGGTTTGTCCAAACTGACAAAATCAATCTCACCCAAACCAATTAACTTTTTTTGTGATTTAACAAATGTCCTGGTTCATTTTCCCATCCCTGCCCTTACAGCCTGACCCCCACTCCCTTCCCACTGCCTCTGTCACCCATCTACCTTCTGCTGCTGCCTCCTCCTCTTCCTCCACTGCTGCCATCTTGCCCTTACAGCCTGCCCCCCACTCCCTTCCCACTGCCTCCGTCACCCATCTACCTTCTGCTGCTGCCTCCTCCTCTTCCTCCACTGCTGCCATCTCATCTACCTTCTGCTGCTGCCTCTTCCTCTTCCTCCACTGCTGCCATCTTGAGACACAGCACCTGGCTTCCCTTCTCTTCACATGCGCTCGCCTATCAGCTGATAGCCTAGAAGAACAAAGCAAAACAAAAATAGTTTATTCATTACCAAATGTATCTCAATAAACCAAACTAACCTTATACCTGGAAGATGCGTAGAATATGCAGTGAAGATGAATTAGAGCATGGGGGAAATACCTGAAAATAAGCAATGTCAATTAACTTGTAGGCCATTACAAGCTCTTTAAGAATTCTGAAGTGCATGAATAGCCTTACATGGATGAGATATTGGGGGTGGGGGGGATAACATTTAGCCATTAATTCAATGATGAGATATTGGGGGTGGGGGGATAACATTTAGCCATTAATTCAATATGCTGCTCTAGACATTATGTCACAATTCAACAATAGACACACATAGATTACAAACAGATGCAATCAATGATGTACTGTAGGTTCCGTAGGCTGGAGATGGAGTAGGCTGCAGATGGACATTGTTGCCCTGCAAGAGATGAGATTGCCAGACTCAGTCTCTGTCAAAGAAAAAAAATCTCATTCTTCTGGCAGGGAAAACTAGTGAATGGAACCAGGGAATATGGTTTTGGCTGTGCAGTCTGAAATACTCTGCTGAGATCCTTTGTTCCACCTACTGTGGGGAGTGAAAGAATCCTGTCTCTGCAGCTCCACTCATCAGTGGGACCGGTCACCCTCATTAGTGCATATGCACCAACACTGTCATCTACAACAGAAGTCAAAGACAAATTCAATGATGATCTGGCAGCTATTATCAAAAAAATTCCCGAGAGACAGCCACTGTTCATTCTTGGAGACTATAACGCTAAAGTTGGTGGTGATCACAATTCTTGGCCCACTTGTCTAGGTTGCTTTGGCATTGGGAAGAAAATGGCCAAATGCTTGCTGGAGTTTTGCTGTTATTATGGTCCCTGTGTCAGCAACACATTCTTTAACATGAAGCTTCAACACAGAGTCTCTTGGAAACATCCAAGATTGAAGCATTGGCATCAGCTCGATATGATCCTCACTAGATGCTCTAGCCTTCCTAGTATTATGATCTCAGGCAGTTATCAGGGTGCTGATTGTGATACTGATCACTCCCTGGTGTGTAGCAGAGTCACTGTGAATAAAGAAATTGTATCACATGAAAAGGAAGAAAGACCACATATTGACATCAGCAAGACTCGCCATCAGAGAAAAGTGGAGGAATTTGCCCAAGCCTTGAGGAAACTCTTCCAGGCCCCGCTGTTGCAAATGTACCTGAACAATGGGAACATTTCAAGAATGCTCTTTTTAACACAGCCTTGTCCACATTCAGCAAGAAGACCAAAAAAAAGGGATTGTCACTCTTCCACATTGAAGGCAAATACAATCTGTCCCTGTCCAGCTCCCTGATTTTGCTGTTTTCAGGACTGCCTCTTTGCCTCAGCCTGCTGAACAAGTGTCTCTTCAAATTGGGATAGGCCATGATGCACCACCTGCCTCCAGGCTGAATGCTCAGGGCCAAGGTTTCCCATCTATTGAGGTCCATTCCTAAGGCCTTCAGATCTCACTTGCAGATATCCTTGTATTAACGAATCCCACCTACCTGGGCTGCTCCCTTGCCGCATGGGTGATGGCGGCGCCTCCTCCTTCTCAGGATGCTGTTCCTTTGAGACATTTCAAATGCAGTAAATAGTTTCCCCCCAGACAGCTTTGTTCATTGTCCAGCTTCATGTCTGTATATTGTAATGGGGAGTGCCATAATATAGAGGATCTTCACTAGAGTCTTCCATGACACTAATTTACACTTGAGAATCTTTTCTTGTTTCTTCATAGCTGTTCTTCTGAGTCTCAGTTGCCTTCCCATTTCTTGGCTGCATTCCACATTGATGACTGACATTACTGTACCTAGCAAAACCAAAATGGTCTCTTAATCTTACCAAAATTGTGGAAAAGTGTAAAAATTTTCACAGATCTTACATCTATCAAAATAAATGTTTCAGTATATATTTTTTAAAGCATGAGGAATTGCAGATTGAATAAGTCATTCTAGCATAAAATGTTTAGGAGTATATATACACCATAAATATTTATTATTATTATTTATAGAACTATCCATCCTGTTATTAAATGGATAAGAATAAAACTAAAAACATGGTTCTCACTTGTCCACATTTGGTAGAAATTCAATATTAAAACTGAGTATATTGTACAGAATTTTTCTTTTTGCTCCAGTCTATTCCATTGTAATATGAAGCCAAATGAAATAATGCAATACAAATTAAAAATAAAATTAAATGGAGGAAAAACTCCTGATTCTCAAAAGCTGTTCAGTATATAGTATATCACAGAAGTGAGTACACCTGCTCACATTTCATAAATATTTTAGTATATCTTTTCATGTGACAACACTGAAGAAATGACACTTGGCTACAATATAAAGCAGTGAGAATAGAGCTTATATAACAGTGTAAATGTGTGTCCCCTCAAAATAACGCAACACATAGCCATTAATGTCTAAACCGCTGGTAACAAAAGTGAGTACACCCCTAAGTGACAATG